GTGGGGGCCCCGCCCCACCCCATCGCCCTGCCTCCTCTCCTGTCGCTGCAGCCCACAGGATTGGTGGCACTAAGCTCACCATGAAGGATCACCTCCAAGTTAGCAGTCACAGCCACGGACAGATCCAAGATCAGCAACTGTTTGGGGATGAGAGTAACTAGAGGGCACAGTGCTCATGACATAACCAAATGGGCAAAATGGGCTTGCCAGTGGTGCAGTGCGGCAGCTGGAAAGCATTTGCGGATGGCAGGGGAGTGCCACCTCTCTGAAGTCCATGGAAAGCATGGGGAAGGCAAAAGCCACCCCGGTGACTCCTGAACAAGCCGTGAAGCAATATATGCAAAATTTAACAGCCTTCGAACACCATGAGATTTTTAGTTATTCTGAAATGGTAACTATTTGGACTTTGGTCCAAATGCAACGAAGCACCAGGGCATGAAAGGTGGACCCAACAATGGTGGCTATAATGATGACCAGAGATTATATGTGCAGGTGCCCCACAATCATGTTGCTTACATGTATAAGTTTCTCAAGGTCATTGGAAAGGGGAACTTTGGTCAGGTTGTCAAGGCCTAAAATTACAAAGTCCACCAGCATGTGGCCCTGAAGGTGCTGCAGAATGAGAAGCAGGTGTTCCAGAAGGAGATCCAAATCCTTGTCGTACACATGTTGGAGAATTTCTTCTTAGGCAACCACATCTGCATGACATTTGAACTGCTGAGTATGAACCTCTGAGTTCATCAACAGGAGTAAATTTCAGGGCTTTAGCCTGCCTTAGGTCTACAAATTAGCAGTGCTTGGATGCTTTGCTCAAAAACGGAATAATTCACTGTGACCTTAAGCCCGAGAATATTTTGTTAAAGCAGCACAGTAGAAGCAGTATTAGAGTGATTGATTTTAGCTCCTTAGGCGCATCAGTGTGTCTACACATACATCCAGTCACGTTTTTACTAGGCTCTACAAGTGATACTCTGGAACAGGTACCCCATGCCCATTGATATGTGGAGCCTAGGCTGCATTTTACAGGGCTCTTGACAGGTTACCCCCTCCTACCTGGGGAGGGTGAAGGGGACCAAATGGCCTGTATGACTGAACTGTTGGATATGCCTTCCCAGAAATTGCTGGATGCCTCCAAAAATTTTGTGAGCCCCAAGGGTCATCCCCATTACAGCATTGTCACTACTCTGAGACTGGTTATGTGGTCCTCAATGGAGGCGGATCCAGGAGGGGGAAGCTGAGGGGCCCACCCCAGAGCAGAGAGTGGGGAAATGCACTGAGGGGATGTGATGATCCCCTTTTCCTTGACTTCTAAACAGTATTTTTAGAATGGAATCTCCTGGGCCAGGCTTTATGGCACCCCTGGCTGAGGAGGAAGTTGCCAAAGCCTCCCACTGGGGAGAAGACATCAGTGAAAAGGATAAATGAGAGCACTGGTGCTATTGATTTCCAAGTTAACTCCACCTTCCAGTTAGGCTTCTAAATTGAGGACTAATTTGGCACAAATGATAGATGCCAATGAGAATATTCAGCAGAGGGCAGTGTTGCCAAACACTATTAGCTGAGCTGGTAACCTGAAAGATATGACATACCTGAGCCTTATTGAGTTGAAAAGGTATAGCTCAGAACTGGTTTGTTTTGTTTGTTTGTTTGTTTGAGGTACTGCAGAGTAAACCCAAGGGTGCTTTACCACTGATCTACATCTCCAGCCCTTTTTAATTTAATTATTATTATTGTTATTGTTTTATTATTATTATTATTATTATTATTGGGTACCAGGAATTTAACTCAGGGGCACTCAACCACTGAGCCACACCCTCAGCCCTATTTGTATTTTCTTTAGAGACAGGGTCTCACTGAGTTGTTTAGCACCTTTGCTGAGACTGACTTAGAACTCGCAATCTTCTTGGCCCAGCTTCCCAAGCTGCTGGGATTACAGGCACATGTACCATGGTGATGGCTCACCACTTAATTTTAATGTAAGACACTTTGTTTTTATAAAATACATGGGGACAATGCTTTAAGTTTTTATACTTTCTGAAACTGTTTTTGTTTTCTACATGTACGGTGAGCCTTACAGTATTAAATGTGACAGAGTAATAATATCAATCAGGCCATTGATTACTTCATGACGGCCACTTACTTATAGATTGGTCAAGAACATTTGCTATATTTTTATGGTTCATATTATATTCTCCCCCCTCCCTCCACACTCCAGGTTCATGCACAGGTGTAGCATGTCCTGCTACTTTTTTTTTCCATAAATTAATCTGGGGGGTAGTGGTGGTGGGAGAACAATGGTCAGAATGAAAATTTTATTCTAAGAAAAATGCATCATAGAGATTTTTTCCTGATGTAATGATCAAACAAATACAAAATAAGATCCCCAAGGTTTAAATTGTCCAGTTAGCATTATGACATTTTATAAGCTAGCAAGGCAGCATTTTGGTGGCTAAGTAGAAACTGAAACATGTGTGTCCCTTTAAATTTTCTACTGGCAAGCTGTTTTGTCAGGAAACCTCCTATTACAAGATTGGCTATGCACCTAATTTTAGAACTATTTCATGACTGTTCCTCACTTCTCTGTTCTTTGTTCCTCTTTCACCACACATCTGTTATCTACATTCCACTCGTCTTTTTCCATTGGCTATATATCCCAGAATGTTAATTCAGAAAGAGATAGCTCAGTTGTATGATTGTGACCACCACTTTATATTCCAATTTAAAAAAAAGAATAGCAGTCTGGCTACCAAAGGTGGGGATTTCCATAGTTCCAAAGAAGATTTAGTAGGTTTGAGTGAGTTCACACTTTTCAGGTGCCACTGCAAGGTTCTCTTGGCCTGGGAAAGAATCAACTCTCTTAAAAATAAAAAAATAAAAAAGCAGGGTTGAAAACCTTCTTGGTGAACAGAAATCATAGTGGCCATTCAGTAAGGCCAGCTTTAACAATGCATTTAAAGGAAGAGTAGTTCAACTTCAAATTAAATGATTTGACTTGTTCTTTGCATGTTTAGAAGAACCACAGGATTTGCATTCTTCTGGTTTATTTTCTTTTGGATTGCACTGATTGTTTTTGTGGAAAAATGATGCTTTACTTGGGAAAGTAACTGAGCGTTAGGTAAAAGAATATTTTCTTCCCTTAATAATGATTAATTTAACAGTGAAAATTTCAGTGTTTTATCACTCTTGTATGAGCAATGATATATATCAATTTCAAGGCACATGGAAAAAAATTTTAGTAGGTGAGATTTAATATAGAAAGATTTCTACCTATTTGGACAATAGGTTTGGGATAGTATAAATTAGGATAAATAACCTTTATATGCACAGATATTATACTTTCAATTTTTTAATTCTAATTTGTTATATATAACATCGAAATGCATTACAATTCATATTACACAATACAAATTTTCATATCTCTGGTTGTATATAAAGTATATTCATACCATTTGTGTCTTTATACACGTACTTTGGATATCGATGTCCATCTCATTCCACCATCATTGCTAACCCATGTCCCCTCCCTTTCCCTTCCACTCCTTTGCCCTATCTAGAGTTCCTCTATTCCTTCCATGCTCCCCTTCCCTACCCCACTATGAATCAGCCTCCTTATATCAGAGAAAACATTTGGCATTTGTTTTTGGGGGAATTGGCTAATTTCACTTAGCATTATCTTCTCCAACTCCATTCATTTGCCTGCAAATGCCATGATTATATTCTCTTTTATTGCTGAGTAATATTCCATTGTGTATATATATACCACATTTTTTTATCCATTCATCTACCGAAGGGCATCTAGGTTGGTTTTACAGTTTAGCTATTGTGAACTGTGCTACTATAAACATTGATGTGGCTGTGTCCCTGTAGTATTCTGTTTTTAAGTCCTTTGAGTATAGACTGAGGAGAGGGATAGCTGGGTCAAATGATGGTTCCATTCCCAGTTTTCCAAGGAATCTCCATACTGCTTTCTATATTGGTTGCACCAATTTGCAGTCCCCGCAGTAATGTATGAGTGTGCCTTTTTTCCCCACATCCACACCAACACTTATTGCTGTTTGTATTCATAATAGCTGCCATTCTGACTGGAGTGAGATGAAGTCTTAGAGTAGTTTTGATTATGCACAAAGATTATTGTATTGCTTGTAAACTGATTTACAAGTATTTAAAACTTGGTCCCCAGTGAGGCCAAGAAGGTTTCTGATTCAGTTCTTTTAATATGATTCCTCTCTTACTTTATGATAAAAAATTTGTAGTTTTGAAAAAAAAATTTTTTTTACTTATTTTGAAGCTTTGCTGGTTGATGGTGGAAAAATATATTCAGGAAATAGTTCAGATATTTTCCAAAAAGAGTAATAAGATTAGCTTATTAATAAGATAGTAATTTTGATATTTGCTTCACTATTTAAAGGTGTCAGTGATAAATTGATTTGTACTTCTCTATTTAGAAATTATAGCTTATTTC